TTGGCCCCCGCTGTTTTTGGAAACCCCCCAGATTTTCCCAAACCAATGGAGGTTACAAGGACAACCCCATGAGCTGTCCAAAAACCGCTGTCATCCCCTGAGCTCTAAACCCGAATTCCCAAACCCTAAATATCTAATCCTGTATATGCCTATATACCAGATATGACCCCTATAACTTTACAACTCCTAGATGACCGATGTCTAGACGTCCCATCTATGGTCGTAGCCTCCAGTGTAGGATTCAGTGTGTGTGCCATTTGAAGGGTTCAAGCCTGATCAAGTGATCCCGAAGAATTGCTCCAGCAAAACGCTATTAATCTCGAGGCCTTGCTGGGCCACTAGGGTTTTGGGGTTAGGGTAGACCCTAGATTTTATCTTGACATCCTAGTTGACACCATAGTTCTGATACAAAGTGCAAAGGAATTTCGGACAAAGTGGCGATCAAGTACAGTCAACTGAATTTCTGCGCGGCAGACTTTTAACCCTAGACCCTAAACCCTCATCGCCGGAATTGTAAACCTAAATCAGAAGCCTTTCCCAGCCAAGATTGAGGTTTCCAAGAACTAGGGGTCCCTGTTGGGGAGTATTTCTAATCAGTATGTTGGGGCCCCATGTTTTTGGAAACCCCTATTGGCTGCCCCATACCAAACCCTAAACCCTGCGGCCTATAACTCCAGGTGTAGGACAGCATGTGGGTGGCAGGGCCCACGTTATCCTGAACGATAATTAGGCTTGAGCTTCCCGCGGTTCAGTTTAGGTACGGTTATGGCGGGATTAAAGGGAGGTAAGGTTTGGTCCAATAGCTGGGCTTAGCATCTGGGGTTTGTGGCTGCACGCTTAGGGCGGTTAAAGAATGGGCCTTTTGCTTTCTGGAGGCGGATCTATCAACTTGATGCAGCTTTGGAAGCCTTAGGCCTTAGACACGTCGCGCTTCCCGTCAATCATAGCAAAGCCCCTCCCTCAGATAATGCACGGTTTTTTGGTATATGAAAGCATCCATGGAACATCATTACTTGGAGGAGGGCGGAGGGCTCTAGTAGGAGGAGGTATAGAACGGTCCTCAACCCTATACCCTTCTTGCCTCCCGTCAATTCAATGACAGTGACCCTGCATCCTCGCCGATGATCGCGTCGACGAAGGCAGAGCCACTGCATCCATATCTTGGGCAGCATGTTGTAGCACCTGAGCCAGGATCAGCTGAAAAGACATCTGTCCCTTGAAAAGGGGGACTATATGGAGGTTTCCCCGAAATTAGGGGCACCTTTTTGGGGTCCCCATAATGAGGATTAGAATATTTTGGAGTCTATATTGGGGTCCCCCCTATTTTGGGAAACCACCATATCAAGTTTGTTTGGGGCAGAGTACTGTATGGGGGTCGAAACTGAGCCATGACGCACAGGCTTACAGGGCTTCATGTTTTCTTCTTTTACATGGATTCTGGTAACCCATGGCAACCACATCCCCTACAATAAAGACCCTAGAAGTGTCCCATTGGTGACAAGAACCCTCCCATTACTTGGGGATTGAAGGCTTCGTGACAGTCCAGGTCCGAATGCCTCCGACAGGCCCCCTGTAAAGCGTCAAGCTGAGCCTTCTGGCATTGATGCTACGGAGCCTGCACGCTGATGCGACCCTACGCTCCAACCCTGTATAAGCTTGAAACCCTGAACCTCATGGGTCTCAGCTATGGTGAGGGAGTGAAGAGTTGACGTTGAAGTTCTTGGGGATCTGCCCTTGAGATTGACAGTGTAACCTAAAAACAAAAACCTACGTTTCAGAGTGTAGGGGTTTCGGGCACACGGCTGGAATTCCCTTATTGAATCCTAGGCCCGCCGCCGCCATAGCTAGAAGAACCATCACAAAATTATGGAGGGGCCCCCTTGAGGCTACTGAAATGCGGGAGCGATTTTCCCGTAGTCAGCTACCATGGTCTGCAAGGTCTCTACTGCATCCACTCCACTTCAAACATCAATGCTAAGCTCCAAACCTTAAGTCCAAAACCTTGAACCCTACAACCACCCTGAATCCTAAACTCCAAGCTGGCCAGTTTATAGTGTTTTCAGAACCCCAAGTTAAGCCAATTTGGGAACGATCCTTCATAAACCACCATTGAGGTGGGGGCGGGTCAGGCCATGGCAATTTGCCCAACTGAACCCTAGACCCAAGAACCATACTTGGCGATTTCAAAAAAAAAAAAAAAAAAA